TTAGTTAAATGAATGAAAAAAATTAAAAACACCACAAACAAACCAAGTTTTCATCATATTTTCCCCAGTTTTGACTGAGTTTCATTAGCTGGTGTGTCAGAATCTGATCTTTTCCTTATTTTTCCCATAACAAAAAAAAGCAGCTGTCATATACAGAAGAATTTAAGAAGAAAATTAAAGGAGTGATTATAAGGTCCTTGGGTATCAGAACTTTGTAGTCATTTCCAGGAAATGATTTTTTTTTTCTATTTCCCTAATACCAATAAAAATCTGCATTATATACTCAAGTGCATGCACTATTCATGAGTGCTCCTTCTACTTTTTCAAAATCCATCACTCTGCTTGTCAAAGCCAAAAAGAGCCCATTTTTAACCTGAAGGACTCATGTCACGACATGATTCAACATATGTTTTCTAGTTAAAGATGCTCATTTTGCTAACTGCCAAGGCGACCATGCAAGGGACACTGTTAAAGTACTCATTTAAATAAATAAGCTTATGAATAGAGCGTACAGGGTGTGGTGCGTGGGGCCAGACATGGGAGATGATTCTGACTGCATGCCACCTCCAGCTTCCTATCAACATGGGAGCCATGCATTAAGGTGGCTGGTTCCACAGCTACAACACTGAGGCCAGCTAACAACACAGTGTAACCGATTCCTTCACGTCCCACCAACCTCGTTGGTCACTGGGCATAATTACTACCCAACTTACACCTCCCCTTGCAATGTTTTTGCATCTTCTTAGACTCTGATTCAGAGACTGCATTAGAGGTAGGAATCTGGTACAAACACTTTTGATAACCCTTTGAAGGAGCATAATGGAATTAGCTCTCTAAGTAGTCACCCAGATATCTCAAGTTGGAGAGCATGAACACATTCTGTTGTGTACTTTCTACAAAACCACAATGGGTGATAGATACATTAGTGTTCAGGGTAACAAAATCCCAATAAGTCTTGTAACCTTGCAAGTGAAGAGATGCAAGTGGTACACGTAGACCTTATTTTGGAGGTCCACAAGGGTGTGCCTTTAGCACCTTTATAGCTTAAGGGCATTATCTGGTTACAGTTTGCTGACCTGCTGCTTTTCGGAAACTTGGTCCCACCTGTAAAATATTACTTGGGGAACCAGAGGAAGGTTGTAGCAGCACCACTTTCTCCCCAAACACATCTCAAAAGCCGAGAAGGTAGAGGACGGACATATTTTGCCTCCTGTGACAAGTATACACTGATTGTTCTGTTTCCATACTGATGACCGGGCACACTAATCTACAGCATCAGTGAGAGATGTGAAAGGAATCTATCCTTTCCTTGGGTATAATGCTGAGAAACTTTGCTGCTTTTCAAAACTCTGAGAAATCCCTTAAAGCAGCATGTAATTATACTGACAGAGAGGCTGACAGTATAATTTCCCATTGTGAAGGGGACATTTTGGCCACTCAGAGTTTAGCCAAAATCAAACAACAACAGATTTGCTCTATAACATTACAGCCTGTCTGTAAAATACAGAAATACTTGCTGGGAGAAATTATACCTATGAGAGCAAAGCTCAGCGAAATGTCACATCACCTAATAGTACAACAGAGAAAACCAGCAATTATGCTCTGTTACTTATAGTAAGAATCAACTAAGTGTGTAAGAATGTGTACCCTTTGACTATATGAAATATATGTTATTTGCCTTCATCAGCAATTTGAACAATAGCACAGTTAAAAATGTGTGTTTTATTGGAAACAGATATATTTACCTCACTGACAATTACAGTTTCACTCTGGATTTAATCTGCACCATCAATCCTTTTTTCCTTCTTTTTGTTCGTTTGCTTACATTTCGATTTCTGCACGGCCGAACTTTGCCAGGGCAGGCAATGTCATCTGAACATTTCAAGCACCCACAAATATATATGAACACAACCATCCATCGGAAAGATCTCTACCACACAGAAGACAGAAAACCAAGAGAAAATGTTGGCTCCACTCTGCTAGAGGGGAAATTTTGAAAGGTATCATAGCCCAAGACTGTTTCTCATCTTGCTCTCCGATAGCCAGAATGGCCATATATTTTCAAAACATGTTCTTCACTGAGGTTTGGCCCCAGGAACAGAGGTGGATTTGGTACTAAGTACATAGGAAGCATCCTTAATTGTAAACGAATATGACTGCTAGCAAAAATGCCAACTATTTCCTCTGTAAGCTAGATGGATTACCCAAATAGGATTACCCCTTTCAGCCCTGTCCTTTTACCTCTACATTACTAGAGAAGCCAGAAGAAATCCAGCAGTGTTAATCACTGTTTGAGCTCCCCGAAGGGACCAGCCTTTTACAGTCTCCATATGTATTAGATAATGACAGTAAATTATGAAGTGAGAGCATCTCCCCAGCTTGAGGATGCAAATACCATCAGGGCTGGCCAGCTAATGGCTGATCATGGGGTCTGTTGTGACAGAGAGAAAAAAGGGCTATAAGGGCTTCTGGACATTGAGAGAGATTGCACCTTGGGTCTGGCTCCATCCAAAAAGTCTACCTAGTCTGCTGGGCAAACTTATTCTCCTCTCTCTCCTGCATTATTTACACATGTCGCCCTGGAGATTCCAATCAACTAGCTCCTTCCCTTGGACCCTGCGAGTCTAAGGTGGTTCAAATCAAGGGGAGTTCATACACAGAGAAATAAGAGTTGAAGCAGCATTGCCTGCCCATTTAAAGTTGTGACTGGCCAGAACAGGAACGTCATATGCAACAACCCAGTTGGACAGAAGAGAGATGGGTCAAGAAGGGGAAAGTCAAATACATGTATTTCTGTCCCGCCACCAAACGCACAAAGAGCACAGCAGCCCTCCAGGGATCTGATAAATTTGTCTCCCCCGTGACAGCTGACAGGGATAAACCTTTCATGTATTGGCAAGTGCTCTTAACACATCTCTTCTGGGTGGAGGGTGTGCCCTGAACCCAGTAGTCCCTAGTTTTAACAGGACCCTTTAGGCTCTGTTGTAAAACAAATATGTAGCACTTACTGATACTCATAGCCTCGTAATCTAGTTGTAAAGAGTCAAGAAAGGTCTGTTAAGCTTTTTGTGCTGCTTTGACTTCAGGGGTAAACATTCAGAGGATGTGGACACATGAACATGAAAACCTGCTGAAACATGACAGCTGAATTAAAGATGCAGAAGACACCCCTTTGTAACTCACTCCTGGAGCTGCATCCGTTCCTCTTGCCTCCAACCTGACAGACCGTGACACCGAACTTCGCAATTAGCTCACAAAAAAAAAGGGTCTTGCAGTAAAATTTTTCTGTTATCTCTGTTTCTACAGTCAACTCACTCTCATTCTGTGCTTTGCATAAATTATTTTGTGCATGAAGCAACTTGAAAAAAGGGAAATTATTATTACTTATCTGCCTGACTCATGTACAAGGAATGTCCTTCTCCTTAATCATGGAGAAGGACATTCATTAAAGGTTACTATTTTAAAAAGATATTTTTCATTGATTTTTTTTTTCCCTATAAGACTATTCTTACTATCCTATGAGACTCCTGTATTTATTTTTTTTTTTCACTGATTGTTCTTTGAGCATGGGAAAATTTTGACAATGCAAATTTAGAAAACTAAGCTGCAGTACAGCATATCAAACTCAAAATGGGTCTAGGTTGCTGCTACCTCATGCCCATGTGGAAAGTACTGCTACAGGATAAATATATGTTTTCTTTTGGTTTCCTTCTGAAATTTCAATCACTTGAATGAACTTGCATTATTTCAGTAAAAGGCAAATTCTTGAAATCCAAGTTATT